AATGATGGGCTCAAGTATAGCAGGGATTGTGGGGCTGGCGCGGGATCGGGCAGTGTTTCGTTCTGCTGTGCATGGGGTCGCTATGAGTCGGAAACGACTTGACGACACTTAACAACAACAACAACAATTTTATTTTAAAAAGCATTCAACCAATATAGACAACAGAGACTAATACCAGTATATCCACAATACTGCATTACCATTAACACCAAACACCAGGCTACAGATAAACACATAGACATCTGAGAAGATCAGATGGAGGTCAGTGAGCAGTATTATACTCTAGACCAAGGATAGATTCACCTGAGGCTAATCTTGCACAAATATCAGTGATAGAAAATATCTGCAATCTTTACAGAAACAATAGAAGACAGACATAGAGTAATCCCTCACAGACCCCCAGACACCGTGGGAGAGAAATCCAAAGGATCTACTGACTCAGGACCATAGTATTGGGGGACATTAGCCGCAATTGGCACAACAAAATACATAAAAATCTTGATCCACAACCTATACTAGTGAGTAGTGACTGGGGTCTTAAAAGCTTTTGAGCAGCCATCTAAGATGCAGCTAATGATCTACTACTGTAGGAAGCGAAGAAGAGTGCAAAAAACCAAGGGCATTTGGAAACAATCAGCCCTAGGATATGGTAAACCTCAAAGCCAGAAGAACTACATGGTGCCCAGCTACCAATGCCAGCCACTCAGGTAGGGATCAAAACTGGAGATCCTGGATAGAGTAGGAGGAAAAATGTGGAACAAAATCAAAAACATATTAATGACCAGAATTTCTGGTCAGATGGAGTCTGGTGGGACCCCCAATACTATGGCCCAGGAACACACTTTGGCCCTGGATTATAACTCACTCCAAAGGGCTGGCTCTCAGTCCAATAGTAAATAAGACATACACAGAGTCCACTCAACCCAGGGTGACCACCCACATACCCTATGGAGATACTTTACTTGGAACAGTCGACCATGGAGCACCAGAGGGGCAACATTTACATGGAGGAAATGCAGGACACACAGGAGTACATAACTATAAAGAGCACAGGGTGGGGGGTGACTACTGGGAAAGGAGGGGAGGAAAGTAAGTTAGGGTTGGGGACAGTAACTGCGGAGTGAAACCAAATGTACGTGAAATGTTGAATGTGAAACAAATTCTGCTCTGTGAGTTTGCAACTAAATAACAATTAAAAAAAAAAAAATCAACTATAGCCTTGGGAGCCCTGGTGGCGTAACACTTGACTGCTAACTAGAAGGCTGATGGTTCAAATACACCAGCCACTTCTCAGAAGGAAGATTGGGCAATCTACTTCTGTAGAGATATGGCCTCAGAAACCCAAGGAGGAGTTGCTATGAGTTGGAACCAACTCAATGGTAGTGAGATTTTTAGTCAGTTCATAGCCTTAGGTGGATAGGACTGCATCTACTTATTCTCCATTCTGTCCTCAGCATTAATCTTTAACTGCATAGTAAACATTTTTAGCCATTTGTTACTTTACCCAGTAGGTTACCATACATTTAAGAACCAGCACTCTTGGGTAACTATTCATCCACTCAATTTTTTCCAGGTCACATTTTCTATAATCTCTGAAGTGGAAAGACTTTTATAAACTCTTCATTGCAAGGTGCATAGTGGCTCTTCATAGATCAAATGAAGAGATTTGAGCTTTTCTCTTTCTTCCGTCTATCCTGTAGATTGCTGACCCAGTTATCTTTCTAAAACTCTGATCTGATCATATCACTCCCTTGCAGAAAATCTTCACGGTCTATCAAATTGCCTGACTCGATGAACAAAATCAGAAAGCTAAACTACGTATTTACCATATAAAAAGACTGTAGGATGTTGAAGGCTGGTCAATATAAACACAGGAAACAAAAGAAAAACAAGCATCTATTTTAAGTGATGGTACAATTGGAGGGCCCTTGACCAAAATTTCAAAATGTTTTCCTCCCAAGGGTAAAGCTTTACTTATTGTGGAGATTACTACACCAAAATACTTGAAATCAATTAAGGTTTAAATCATGTTATTGTTTCCCAGTCTGAATATTTGATCATCCAGCAGCTTTCTGGATGTAATTAGCTTTCCTTTTAGTGTCCATATATTGTGAAACATACAAGTCCAGATGTATTTGTGAGGATATTAACTGTTCGCATTTCTGAAACTAAATATAAATGGTATTTATTTATGGCTCAATCTATTGTAAACAAGGTTCTTGTAAATTATACTCTGAGTGCTTATTTATATTATTTGTAAAGATAAATTTAGTTCTTAGCCCAGCTAGGAAACTCTGCGGAATATAAATAATAAACAAATAAACTGGAGAACCCTGCAAGTAAGTACACTGTCATCATGTAAAGCTATTTGACCCAAAGATCCACACAATCTTTCTTATATTTTCAATACTCCACACTTTTCTTCAATTTTTCACCAGATAATGACTCAACCATCTTTTCTTCCTGGCTATAGAAATTCTTCTGCATTTGTAGGGCAAATTTCAGTCCTCCTTTTCCCTAAACACTTCTTTGACCATTATATTGGGTCCCAACTATCTCTAAAATTAATTCTTAAAGATATTTAATTATATATTGCTATTTTTTTTCTGAAGGTGAATTCTCATAATTTCAATATGTGATAAACTTTTTGAGGGGCAGCAACTGGTATTTTACTAGTTTTGTGTTACTTATGATTTCTGACGGTAGCAAAAATGCTTCCAATGGTTCTGATAATCCTCTTTCATTCTTACTTTCCCTTTTTCACACATCCCACGTTAAATAAATTCAAGTTTATTTTTTGTTAGGCCATAGCCATTCTATTTTCTGTACTTGATTGTATCTATCAGCAGTTGTTCACAATATTTCTGTGTTTTCCATACCTTGCAGTTTTTGCTTCTCTTACTTATGAATGGGCTTGAAATTCTGGCTTCTCTCATGGGCTGCTGAGGGAACAAGCTCTTTATAAAGATGTAATGGCCAGATGAATTGTGTAAGGTGTGATCAGCAGCTGGCTCTGTGCCTACAGTGGGGATGTGGCTAGCTTTTAGATTCCAGTCAAAGTCATCGTCCTGATCCTGCTCCCAGGAACAAAGGTCAAATTCAAAATCACAGCGCCCATCAGAGGTACCTGTAAAACAGTTCCCAATTTATGGTACAGAGAAAGAGGAAATTAGCTGATTTTAAAGCATGCAATCCAAAATTAGTGATCTTGTGATATCATATAATATTTAAAAACTTATAAAACAATCTTGACAGTGATATTGAAATAGAATATTTTAGTTTGTTATATAAGCTATTTCCATAAAGTTGATTTGTCTACAGATGTACACCCAGTCTCAAATTCAGTGAGAAAATTTTTAGCATTATACACAATTCCTGTTCCTAGGAGCTCCGGTAGCATAGTGCCTAAGGCACTTCTTGACTGCTAACCAGAAGGCTGGCGGTTCAAATCC